TCTATAATGTCTGCCCATGTGACTTGTTTTTATTATTTGTTTTCTTACCTTTAAACACTGATTTAAATATTGTAATTTTTAAACAGAGCAGTAATTTTACATCCATGGAAACTCAAATGTAATATTTAAAACTTCAATACATAAAATCAATTATTTAACAATATGACGTGGTGTTTATTTTTAATATTGTATTTTTATACATTTATGCTAGAGGTGCCCAAGTCTAGTTTTCCAGAGCTACCATCTGCAGCTTTAGATGCATTCCTTCTCTAACACACCTGGACCATTGACTCATTATAAGCCTCTACAGACCTGAATGAGGGAAGTCAACCTTTTGTCTGGGGCGTGTTTTAGCAGGGATGCACTCCTGATTTGCACCATCAATGTGGCCTGTTGAGGGTGGCCAATATACTGAAATTGAGTTTGACACCCCTGCTATAGAGCATTGAAAAAACAAATATATATTGAATGAGAATATTAACTCATTAACATTGACAAGTATTTGTAATTTTCATATGGGGGTAAAGCATCGGAGTCATTCTGATGGTCAGACAGTCATAAACTATGGTTAAAATTGGATGGTGATGTCAAAACAAAACATGTTTTACAGACACCCCACATTTAGAACAAGATGAGACAACTTAAACAGTTCTTTGGTGAGGTGCTAGATGTCATTTTAATGTCTGCTTCATTTTACAGTGTGCTACAAAGTTCAGATATTACATATGAATCAAATTTGTTGGGATAACAATTATAGTTTCGAAGGTGCTGTCCCCTGTACTGAACATTTCCTGCTATTGTTTGCTATTCCTCTGATTTACACAAGATTACATGGACTAAGAAAATGACTGGCTTTTATTTAGAGGGAAGGCTTAAACAGGGACTCTGAGCCAAAACGATTACAATAATCAAGTTTAGAAATAAATCAAATCTAATAGTCACACAAATCTGATATCTCACATTTTTCCTAATGTGACTCATCTTCTAATGAAATTTGTCATTTATTATCATTATCATTGCCTTATTGCTGTCCTTAATTGCATCCAGACTGACCCAAAAAAAGACAGAGGAGAACAAATGAAGAGCAGCATCAGAGGGGAAGTAATGAAATGTCTTTCAACAACACTTTGTCTCTGTTCCTTCGGCCAAGTCTGGGATACCTATTAACACTCCCTTTAAATTATTCATTCTGATGGATAAAACACCTCCACAATTAATTGCATGTGAGACACCCAGCCTTCTTAAATCAGTTGAAGAGGCTAAAATAACCACAGCACACTTTGTTAAATGTATACTTCCTATCACTTGACTTTTAAACATCGTGCTAAATATAAAGCTAATAACCTCTGGGTAAATACAGAGGAATATTGCTGATGCGTATTGGCCGCAGAATGATATCTGCCTTCCTCGTGTATAAAATGCCTTTAGGAGACAGAAAGAAAAAGAAAGAAAGTCTTCTTGAATAAAACTTTCCTGTGGTTTGGATATTCCCTTTCATGGACATGACTTTAGAGGAAATGTGCACCACATGTCTCATGTGCTCATTTAAATTACATCACAACACCAACCTTGCACCATTCACTGTAAAAATTACATGCATTGTTACATATTAATCAAAAACCTCAACTTATCAAGTTTTTTTAAGAACAAAGGTAGGGGTATCAGTGTTCTGCTGTGGGGAAGTCTTCTTTATTTTAATTTTTAGATGCTTTATTTGTAATTTATTAGTCTTTACAAACATGTTTGGTTATTTCATGTCTTAATTGTTGCTAAACTTTAGGGTTGCTCTCACATGCTGATCAATACAGTCATTTCTCGCATTCAGCAAGCGAATGGGGAGATGCTGCAGTGTTAATGCAGAATGCAAACATCCTGACGGCTGCTGCTAAACTGGTGTTAGTGTCAATATTGACGTTTTAGGACAAAGCAAATTCCAAAAAATGCAAACTCAGAAGCTGAGAAAGAGTCATATTAAAAAAAAAAAAACAACAAACAAAAACAAAACAGCGCTGTAAGCATAGATGGAGAATCGGCCGGCATTGTGTTTTTGTAAAACTGGCTCATCCAGGAGGGACGAGTGTGCTGCCCAGCTATTTATTGCTGCGCCGTTGAATGCTACGCCAGCTCAAAAGGCTTCAAATCATCTGGGAGATTGTTAGGCTTCTGTGAAAATTACGGAAATGCAGGGGAAATGGATGAGCAACACTTCATAACAATTAATCAGAGGCCGCTGATTAATAAAGTTCATTTTTTATTCCCGATGATTCAGGGGATTATCAAAAGGACACTGTCCTTGTCATTTTGATTAACAAACCCATCTTCGCTCGGCAAGAGGACGCGCTGAAGGGAGACGCTTTCTTTCGCCCATAAAATAAATATTGAATGAGAATATTAACTCGTTAACCTTGACAAGTATTTGTAATTTTCATAAGGGGGTAAAGCAGCGGATTCAGCACAAAAAAAATGCTGTGGGGGTTTGAGAAAAGGCACAGGAAGAGAGGTGGAGGGACGACAACACACAACAAATTAGAGAGAATGAAGAATGCTACTGCATGAATCCTGTCATTTTTATGGGCTGCAATGATTAATTTGTTTGTTCAAATTCTCAATTAAGCCAGGAGGAACTGGCAGAATTAGAAAAGGAGAGCAGAGCAGCGTTGTCTTGGCTTAGCAAGCTCCCCAGGGAGTTATAGCCCTACCTGATCTCAGGTCATCAGGGTATTCTGCCGAGAGCTCAAACGAGCTTGGAGCAATGGGGTGTGATGTACATCTTCAGCATTCATTTCAAACTGCACGGAGGGGGAAAAAAAATGTAAATCAAAATATTTCACCAGCCCCGCCCCGGCAGATAAATCTCCCTGCCTTTTGTCCAGGTCGCCTTGTGAAGGGTAATGTCCTTAAAATGTCAATTGTCAGTGTGAGCATGCATTAGGTATAAAGTACAGTTCAGCACACACACCAAAAAACAGGCAGCCAGTCGCAGTGCTATACAAAAAGAAATAAAATATGGAGCTTGCACTTCCCTTTTCCCTGGAGGCACTGTGCACTTATTATTTGTCAGAGTGACAGATGTTTTTCAAATGATGGTGTCTCATGTGTGCTGAACTTCTACCAAAGCCCTAGCGTGAGAGACTGCGGGATGCTCTGCGCCATCTGATGGAACCCTCCACGGACCGAATCCCTGTGCTGAGAGGCATTTCTGCAGGGAAGACTCACAACAGAGGAAGATGTTGTCAGGGTGGTCTGCTGTGGTGACGGCAGCAGAGGCAGGCCTGCACCATGACGGGACTAACAGGGACTGCATATGACGCTGCGCAAGGCTTCAGGATCTGAATGTGTGTGGTGCTGCAAAACATTTTATTTGGCCACCATAAACAAAAAAGCACACAAGTAAATTAACCCGTAAAAGTATTAATTCTCCTTTAACTTTTACACATTTAGTCATGTTACAAATATAAGGGTTTTATGTGACCGACCAACACAAAGTAGCATCATAAATCACTTAAAAATGTGATTTTAATTTGTGTTTACTTTATACTAATGAATAAAATCCTGTGCACTCAGTTTTCCCTGTTGTATTTTAAAACCAGCCATTCTGTGAAGGCCTCAGAGGTGTGTCAAAGATTATTTTGGTATAAAAAAGAGGAACTTGGACGAAAAGGGACACAGTTGTAAAGAAATGTAAAGCAGGAAGAGTTTATCCCAAGCGCCTAACATAACGGAGCACTGTTTGTCTGAAAATGTCAACACACCTAACTTATAAAAAATATGGCCGTCACCAACAGCAGTACTTCTCAAATAGTGGAGCGCGGATTTACTTTATTGTCTTTATTTATGCCTGACTGATACACAAATCTCCGGTCAATAGGTGGCAGCAGAGTTGAAATTAATCAACAGGCTGCCTGTTCAGGCCAGTAGAAGAAGTAGCCGAAAGAACGACAGTGACCACTGATGGAGGAGGAGACAAGCGCGGACATTTTGAAACATATCTACGTCCTTGTTGGAAAGATGGAGAAGTTTGTGACAGTAAAAAAGAAAACTGGCGGCAGAGGTTAGTAAAGCAAGTATGATGGACTGTTAGGGGAAGACTAAGATGTAAAAGACAATACAAGAATAAAGTCTCATAGTTTTATGAGAACTGTCATATTCTGAGAGTAGTTATTCTATCAGCAGAATAAAGACGCAATACTGCTGGAAAATTCTGAGAAAAAAGTTGTTTTAATAAGAAAATAGTTCAGTAGAATCAAAATCAGATGTGACTAGCTCAGCAAGTCAGTGGTTCTTTATTTGAACCGGACATCGTTTACACAATCGTTTCAAACTCCTGTGTAATTATTTGATGCTGATGTGTGCTATATAAATAAAATTACCTTTACCTTTAAAAGATTAAGTATTTCCTTATTTGTAACCGATGCCAAATATAGCTTCACAAGATGCTCAGTATGCCTCATTTTAACGCAGTTTGTTGAGTTCTCATAAAATTACAACTTTATTCTTGTGTTAAAATATTAAATATTACGATATTCTCAATAGCATTTCCATTTACCATTTATTCATTAGGAAGAAGGGCAGAGAGAGAAAGGAAATTGAACCAGGAACAACTACATTGAGAACTGAGCCACATACCCCAAACTGTGGCTTTCTGCCGGTAAGCAGCCATGTGTGAAGGAAAACTCACACTGCTCAGCTTAAACATTCAGTCAGTTTTGATCAAAGCATATCTGTATGTTAAAATGGCCCAGACCTAAATCTAACTGAGGATCATAAGACTTGAAAACTGATGTTAACCAGCGTTTCTGTCAAATCTGACTGAGCATGAGCTATTTTGTAGAGAAGACTTTGGAGGAATGCTAAGTCTATGGCTATGTAAAGCAGATAGATATACCACATAGAACTAGTTATTAACTAAATTCATTCATTCATTGATAATAATACATTACATTACACTGGTCTATTACATGAACTGCATTGAAGTTTGTGGTTCTACTGTAACAAATTGAGAAAAAGTTCAAGGTTGAATACAATTTATGAGTAAAACTGCAATTTCACAGAGCCAATAATTGGAAAAAAAGTGATATGATATCTTTTACTGTGAGTGGGAGGAGAAGATCCAGGTTTTATCGTAGAGTTGAAATATTTTTGACACTGGTGGTTATAAAAAAACAGTGACTTAGCAGCAGAGATGGTCATAAGGTCATTTATTTTGGATTTCCTACTAAACTTGAGCACGGTAAAACAGAAACACACCACTGAAGATATTCAGATCATTTTCCAATACTTCAGAGACTCTATACACTCAAAATATAAATTTACATACTGCAGACTAGCTGATTGCTTTAACCTCGGCTTCCCGGGACCACTCATGCTATAAAATGCATGGATTTAGCTTAAATATAGTCTAAAGAACATGTACTTTTTTAGTTTATCTGCATTTACGTAACATCTGCAGAACACGTAATTCCCCTGTGTTTTCATTGTAAATGCCCACACTTTCTTAACTGTAAAGTATCCCTCTTAAAGAGAGGTGAGCAACTGAAATGTGGAAGCAGAGTTTCTCTTTTTGGTTTAATGCATTTCAAATCAAGCACTGTGTTTACATCTTTATGACACCTATTGTATGTTTGAGTCTCCAGAACTCTTCTGTAGAACCTGAGCCAGAAAAAAGTGCAATGATGTGTGAATCATCACAGCATATTCTGCAAATCTCTCGATTAAAAACACAGTGTAGATATTTTGCTATTGACCGTTGTGAGAAATCTTTTTACTGCTGTTAAAAGCGCTGGCCACGTTTTCTTTCATTTTCATCCAAGGTGTCCTCTGATAGTTTGTATATTTCCATAGCAGCAGCATTGACTAGAGCTAGCGCTTGTGAAACGAAAATGCTTATTAGTCAAACAGTCCCCATCGGAATAATGCCACGGTCAGCCAGTGGTGAGGGATAACTCTGCACGGATGACACACTGGAGCTTATTCTGTAGGGGATCTGCTCTAGTACAGCATGTACAAACATGATGTATGGACACACAAGCGGAGAAGCATCATGGGACCATGCTATGGCGGAAGAGCTGTGGATGAGTTACTGTTGCAAGAGCAGGGCTTGCATAAAATATGTTCTTCAAAACAATGACAGTGTGTTCTACTTTCTGCTTAATGATCCATTTGCCCCTTCAACCTTGATCAAAGCCAGTCGACAAAAATAAAGTCATTGGAAATAGTGAAGGGCTGATCAAAAATAACATTACATTCTGTTAGAAGCTTTTATTCTAAACATAAGCAAGGAAAAGCTGTTTTTAAAAGGACATTAACAAGGCAGTCTAAATGGGTAACATAATTCTAAAAAAAAAATAAAATCATTGTGTGCATTTATTGTTCACTTTGACAGACAAGCCTAAATTCATGTACAGTTTAGTTAAATTACTTTTAAAGTTACATGTTATTTAACCTTTCTGCATAACAAATGGAAAGATTCACAAAGTAAAATCCATCAACAAAACAGTATGAACTTTATTCAGAATTAAATTCATCTTTGACTGAGCAAGAAAATCTGATTAAAAACAACAAACAAATATGTGAGTAAAAAAAAAGATAATTATGTTTCTAGTCAAAATTTGCAAAATTAGCTCAGATTTAGGTATATTTGCCCTGATAGCTTAATAAACCGCCGTGAAAGCAGAAATCAAGGCCGTTAATTATCTGAATTAGTAGACCGAAATTATACAAACAAAATTCTTTGTCTTATTTCTGGTTTCAAAATTAAAATGTTTGACACCGCTGAGGCAGAAGGACTTAGGATTATTGTTTAATTCCCTGTAAAAGCAAGGTTCATTCATGGAAGACCTGAGAAAATTCTTGTTTGTTTAGGTTTGTTTCATGAAACAGATAAAGGTCACTGGTTTGGAAGAAATAAAAGAAACAGAATTATTACGTTAGGACAAGGACTCAAAAGATTCACACAAAATCTGGAGTCAACCTTAACAGAAAATATATGGTTCAATATCTCTTTGAGTGCATGTAACAGTTTTGCTGTTTACCAAAGCAAAGAAACATTTCAAACCTCAAACCCTGCTGTTGTGCTGAGTTTGTGCTGCTTTGAGTGAGCCTTAACAGAGTTATATCCAATCTGACTTTCATTGCCGGGGCCCTTCAAGTCCAATATAAAGAGGTATGTCAAAGCATCATATATTTACGTGCTGCGTATGGGCAGGGGAAAAATCAATTTCCCACTCGTCTTGATAATTGATCTTTTGTTCTGAGTGTCCTGGAAAAATGGCATGGCAGGTCTATCATATTTAGACTTGTAGTCAAGCAGCCTGTCTGTCTGTCTGTTCTTCCATAAAACTGGACGAATCCTGGTCCACTGTTTTGGTGTAGACACACTTTAATTCAGGAGCACTGGAGATTTGTTGAGGATGAATACCTTGTATTTGAATCCAGACTTTAACTTGGTCACTCCAAGCCTTCTTTGGCTCAAAGAACCTGACAGGTTTGTGGGTTTTGGATCATTGTCCCTCTACATAACCCAAGGGTGCTTGAGCTTCATGTCTCTGGACCTGATTCATGGTTCCATTAATTATGACCAGTCATCCATGTCCTGAAGCAACAAAGCAGCCCCAGACCATCAGTATTCCACCGTTATTTTATTATTGATATGATGGTCATTTTTCTTAAATGCTGTGTTAGTTTTACACTAAATATAAGGCTGGATACTTTCCAAAAAGTCCATAGAATCTTCCCCAAAGCCTTGGGGGTCATCCAGATGTTATTTTCTTGTAAATATATGTTGGGCCTGTTTGTTCTGTTTTAGTTCCATTGATGCTATTCCTGCTCAGTCTCTTTCCTGTTGAATCAATGTAAGCAAACAAGGCCTGGAGGACGTTGCGAATTATCCTGGGTTCCTTTTGAACCTGATTGCTAAGTTATTTGAGCCAGACACTGCTGAAAGGGTAAACTACTGTTCTATCTTATCTCCATAGTGGATGATAACTCTCGTTGTGGTTCACAAAGCCTTAGAAATGGCTTTGTTACCCTTTCCATATAGCTAAAAACAGTTTTCCTATAATAAATTGTTTCTTTGCCTCTAGCACATTTAGCAGCTAGTACATGAAGTTGATTGACATTGTGAAGACCCTCCTCCTGGCTGTGATTGGTCGTTTTTGGTCGGGAGCGGTGCATTTCTTAACTCAGGGAAAAAGTGGAAGAGTTCATCTTTTCACAGATTGTCTGTCTCATACTGTCATGATATTTGGACACACACACATGTAAAAAGCATATTTTTTATAAAAGTTACATTCTGTAGCTTTAAAAAATGAAATTGCTCTTTGGAAACGGTTTTGTTTTCACTCTGGTTTACGTTGTCTAATATTAACATTCTTTGACAGTGGGAAACAACAAAAAGTGTGTCAGTAAAAGCAGGTCTAGAAGAAATCTGAAAGGGGGCAAATATTTTTTTCCCAACCCTGTGTCTATAAATGTGGATAAAACATTTTCTAAAACTAAAACAGGGCCAGGTTTGTGTACTTCTCTGATTTAATTCCTCCTCTCTGCTCAGCAGCCTCAGACACCTCGTCATTAGCCTGTAAACCTTCTCAAAATAAATCCAATCTCATAAATCTACCTCTGAAGGAATCTGATACTTTTTAAAAAGTGACAGCACTGACCTTGAGATTTATTTTTGTCACACCAGGAACTGTCTCCCTCAGCAACGAGAGATGTGCCTGTCCAGATGGTTTTGTGTGGCATCGTCTTGCTAATTGTCAGTGATGCCATCAAAGGGATGTAGCAGACCTGACAAGTTAGCTGATGAGCAATAAGAAGAGTATGAGGGGAGAAATCAGAGCCAAAAACATGTGACAGTTATTTTGTGCAGCCTACCTATGCTTTTTAGCACGCTAAATCCTTTTGGCCTCCTTTGTTTTCTGCATTGGCTGCAGACAATAATAGGAATTTTTTTTCATTGCGGTTGTTAAAATAGGATTTAAAGCAGTTTGTACTGAATGCATTATGCTTGACAAAGATATAACAGAGCAAAAGAAAAGGATCTATGACAGCTTATTCTATTAAACAGGCCTCTAATAACATGTTACATGATTCCTGCAGCTATTACCTGTCTGCTTTCCCTTTAAAGTGGAACCTGCTGCAGCCCAGAGGAGGAGCAGAACGTCCCCAGTGGCTCTGCTACATGCAAGACAAAACATATGACACAGGGGATGATCCTGACCTGAGACTGACATGTGCTAAAGTACATTATAGTCATTGCCAGGATAAAGGTCACATTGACTTCTGTTATAAATTGGACAGGACAGCTCCAGCATACATGGAGTGTCAAGTGTGAGGAGGTCTGAAAGAAAATCCCTGGGATGTTTCAGGACACACGCTCGCACACACATGCAGAGGAATAAAAGTGTCTGCGTCTCGCTCTCACTTGTGATTAGCACACTTAATCATCACGTTAAAGGAGGAGTCCGAGCTAAGTTCATCACGTAATGGAGATTGCAGTAAGTGAGATGTAGGCCTTTGTTTTTTAATGCCTACATTAAAGGGACAGTTCAGATTATCTTCCTGTTGTTTTTCACTCATTTAAGAAGGGAACAGATTTTCTTCTCCATCGCTGCCAGAAGATCATCTACAGTCGCTCCGTCGCTGCCAGAG